CCCCATGGCTCCAGTCTCTTGTGCAGTACTCTTATCTGCCTCCTTGTCTTGTCTTTCCTGTTGTTGTTGTTGCTTTTGTTTAAGTAACTTAGATTGAGCTCGAGTTATACGTTGATCCTTAACTTCAATCATCCGAACCGGGTCCAAGATTGGAGAAGATTCCAGCAAAGGCTCATCCAGAAAACCTCCTTCTGCGCCTTGCATTTCCTCTAATTCCTGCTTGGACTGTTCTTGCGGTTCTCGTTGAGGTTGCTTCTCTTCACTCTCCTTAATCTCCAAAACTGTAGATGTACGTGGAGATGGTGTTCTTTCCTTAAGAATAGTAGTGTAAAAGTGCTGTGCCTTCTCCAAGGTATTCAAACGATATCTTTCTCCCTTATATCTGAAAATTATACCAACTGGGGCGTCCCACCGAAATGGTATCTGTAAATTTTGCAATTCCTTAACAAGAAAGCCAAATTCTTTTCTAGCTTTCAGCATTTTAGGAGGTAATTCTTTATAAATTCCAATTCGTGAGCCCCCTACTTGCACAGAAGTGTAAAAGGATTTTTGCAGGATATCGTTTCTTATTTCTCTATCTGTAAAATATATGACCACATCTCTAGGCAATTGTCTTTGTCTGGCCACCCAGGAATTCACTCTGTAAATTTTGTCTATTTTGTGAAAAACCACATCAGGATTAACTTGTAGAATCTTGGCCAGGGCCTCAGAACAAACTTGCCTCAAATCCTGTCTTTCCTCCTCTCGAATTCCTCGAAGCCGTATGGCAAACTCCATTGCCCTGAATTGTACCATGACAATCTCATTTTCAACTCTTTGCATTTTATTGTCAACATCAACAATTTTATAATCATTGTCTTTCATCTTAACATTAACTTCTGATTTAAGTTCTTCAACTTTAAAATCAACTTTCCCAATAAATTCTGCCAGGCCAGATGCCACTTCTGATATTTTTTTGGTCACCTTGTTTTGGTTCTGTTTCACCATATCTTTAACTTCATTAATTTCCTGCATAATTCCTGATGTGATTTTTGAAGTTTATCATCTATCTCCTGTTGAGATTTTTGAAATTTATCATCCAAAGTTTTAGAAATAAATTCTTTTAAATCTCCCACATCAAACTCTTTTTTCTGAGTCTGTATCTGTTGTGCTGGGGGAGGCTGTGCTTTATGTGTGGGAGATCCACCTCCTGTTGCCTTCGCTTCCTGCTTCTTTGAGGCCATCCTGCCACGTAGGCTGGTTTTACTAAAAAGGGAAGTTGTTCTTCCTCTCCCACCTCCACAAAGACTTCTGAAAAAGTCCCCCAGATTTAATCAAATAAAAACCAAAGTAAAGCAAAGTCCAGTATTAAAAAGGGAGAAATTTCTCTGTTATTCTCTTGTTACAAGCGAAGCAACTTTGTAGCAACTTAGTAACTTTGTAACAAAGCAAGATAACTTCACCAATCCACACTTGCTGGCTCGTTAACTCTAATGCTGGGCGCCATATTTTTTCAAGTCACTTTCACTCATTCGCATTTTTTCTTAAATTGAAAAGTCAACAAAGCACTAATACTTGCAGTTCCAAGTTTCAGGGTTCAAGTGTATATCCGCTGCTTGTTAAAATTGGTTCCTTTCGCTTTAAATGTTTACTGCAGCCGGCTTGTTCTGCAGAAGCAGAATCGTCCCACACCGCCCAGAGTCTCAGCAGGTTGGAAGGGAGCCGCGCCTGTTTCCTCCCCAGAAACGATTTCCTGGGGGGTTACAGGGGCTCGACCTGTGCCCTGCTATCTCTCCTCCAACAATCCTCAGGATTTTGAAGTTTTCGAGCCGCTTCTCAATCGCGAAGCGGCTCTACAGGCGGCGGGGCTGGCGGAGCTTCAAAAGGCACCGCCGCCGCCCTTAAATTTGATTTATATGCCGCCCTTCTCTGGAGACTCAGGGCAGCTTACAATGCGCTAAGCAATAGCCTCCATTCTTTTGTATATTTATACAAAGTCAGTTTATTGCCCCCCACAACTGGGTCCTCAATTTACCTACCTTAGAAAGGATGGAAGGTTGAGTCAACCTTGAGCCTGGTGAGATTCGAACCTGCAGTAATTGCAGGCAGCTGGTCTTAATAACCAGCTTAATAACAGGGTGCCTTAGACCACTGTACTACCAAGCCTCTTGGTAAATTCAATAAAAAGATTGAATAGCTGCTGCCTGTAAGTGCTTGAATCTTGCTAGTGCAGTCAGTCCCAAAGAAATGCCAGGAATTGCTCAGTTCTACAAGCAAGAAAGGCCTTTTCTCCTCCAACCAGATTTTCCTTTGGAGAATACCCAAAAGGTGCTTTTTTTCAAAAGGCAAGTGGAGTTTGTTTTTCCTTGAAGACGTTTCACTTCAAGAACAGTTTTTTCCCGAACACCATCGCTCTGCTAAACAAATAATTCCCTCAACACTGTCAAATTATTCACTAAGTCTGCACTACTATTAATCTTGTCATCGTTCCTATCGCCCATCTCCTCCCACTTATGACTGTATGACTGTAACCTTGTTGCTGATATCCTTAAGATTTACATTGACTGTTTCCCTATGACTATCATTAAGTGTTGTACCTTATGATTCTTGATGAACGTATCTTTTATTTTATGTACGCTGAGAACATGCACCAAGACAAATTCCTTGTGTGTCCAGTCACACTTGGCCAATAAAAAATTCTATTCTATTCTATTCTCATCCAAGAAGCTTCTTCAGTTCTTCTTCAGTGAGAACTGAAGAAATTTCTTGGATGAGAAGCAAAACGTCTTCAAAGAAAAACAAAGAAAGCCCAGTTGCCTTTTGGGGGGGGGGCGGGAAACCTCTTTGGTTTTTTTGGAGGATACATTTCTTATTTTCCCTCAATCCGTGATGCTGCTGAAGCCCAACTTGCTTTCTCCTCACGAGCCTGGAGGAAAAGCAACAATTTGGCTATCAATCCCCTATGTTCATCCCCTCAGAAACAAGGATTTTCAAGAGGTGACGCTGGAGAAGGATGGCCAGACTCTCCTGCACTTTGCCCTGGCGTATGGATTTCGGAACATCCAAAACTTCGTGCAGAAACTGAAACGCGGAAAGCTGCCGTACCATTACATCGAGGTGATGGCTTGTCCCTCAGGTGAGGATGCTACAGGTTTGATGTGGCAAATGGCTGGAAGGGAAGAGATAAATACCTCACATGGTGATCTGGAACTATTTCAGGAATTCTTTCAAGAGGGGTAGGCCTAGTGAGAGCTGCAGTGTGGCCTGCTAACATTTCCCTTGCCAATAGGACACTGAATGAGGCAGAGCAAAAGGCAGGCTGTCAGCCTATATGTTTTGTTCCCAAGAATTCCTTTAGTTTACAAATAGGTCTTGGAAACGGAAAATGAAATTGATGGGCATTTTGGTATTTTAGGGCTTGGTTTAGATCAGTAGTTCCCAAACTTTTTCAGTCCCCCGCCCCCTTGGTGCAACAAACTCATCCTCAGTGCCCCCCACCCCCACTCCACAATAGTGTCAAAAAGATTGTAAAAGCGTCTCACACAGTTGCCTTTTGATAGCCAATGAACTTCTGTACGAAGCAACAAACGTACCATACACGTATGGTACGTGTAGGCGCAGGAGGTGATGGGGCCAGTTGGGCCGGAACTGGAAGTGCTCAGCTGACCGGTGGCTGACAGAGCCCCAGGCAAAAGTGTGCCCTGCAAGGGGCCCACCTCCAGCACTCCTCTGCCATCCCCCTTGCCTCTTAGTGCCCCCCTAAGTCATCGCACCGCCCGCCCCCCCAGGAGGCGGTACCGCCCACTTTGGGAACCACTGGTTTAGATGGTGACCCCACCCCCATCAACCCAGATAAGTAGGGGTCATAGGCAGTGTCCTACATACCCACATTTTGTGAGTAGTTCACCCTCCTCCCTTTTCCATTGTATACCTAGAATAGCTCCATGCAGTTAGTTCTGGGCTTACCACAGGTCCTTTTGTGAGTCTTCAAAGTTACAATAGCACTGAAAAAAAGTGATATGACTGTTTTTCAAAGTTACGACCTTTGCATCCCCATGATTGTGTGATCAAATTTCAGATGCTTGGCAACGAACTCATTTATGACGGTTGCTGTATCCCAAGATCATGCCATCCCCTATTGTCACCTGACAAGCAAAGTCAGTGGGGAAGCCGGATTCACTTAACAACCCTGTTACTAACTTATCAACTGAAGTGATTCACTTAACAATTGAGGCAAAATGGGCCAAAACTCACTTAACAAATGTCTCACTTAACAACATAAATTTTGGGCTCAATTATGATCCTAAGCCGAGGATTGCCTGTGCTTCCAACTTAACAGCAACACTGCCAAAAGTCCCAACATCCTCCGGCCCACCCCCTCAAGTTAACAGCTCCTAGTTTAAGCTAAATGCTCCTTCACTTTCCTTGCCTTCAGCTGCAAATCCTTATTTTCCAGGGTGCTTAAATGGAGGGGGGCAGATCAGAGCGGAAGGAGAATCCAGCAAGGACCTGCTCCATCGGGTGGAGACGCTCTATGAAATGGCCCAGCCGGAAGACCCCGAGATGAACAAAACCATCAGCGACCTCTATGACAAGTGGCTTGGTGGCCCCACTTCTCAACAGGCTCAAGATCACCTCCATACACAATACCATGCTGTGGAGAAAGGCAGCGCAAGCTTTAATATTAAGTGGTAAATTGGCTCAGCTCGTGTAATACAGAATACACGGAGCCCCAACCCCCAGACCGCGGCCCACAACTGGGCCATGGCCTATTCGCAACTGGGGCTGGGTGAGGGGCAGGCCGGTCGGCCTGCGCGTGCAGCTCGACTCACACAAGCAGCGGGCCAGCACGCATGCATGTACAGCTTGCAGTCAAGCTGTGTGCCTGCACCGGCCCACCGTTTGTGCAGTCTAGTACTTCCCCTACCCACCCACCAAGTTGCAAAGGTTGGGGACCACTTGATGTAGTAGATCGCTTATTGTTGTAGATGAAGCTGAAAGTTTCATTTTTAAACAAATAGTCGTATCAAAGATTTATATTTGAATTTTTTAAAAATTATAAGGTGAAGCATTGGCTTCACAGCAGACAACAGTGCTCTCCACTGGATTTCTTAATCTCATCGGATCTTTGAGGCAGAAAATTGGACCGTTGTCAGTTTACAACTACAACTCCACCACTTTTTTCCTACTTCCAAACAGTTAGAATTTATGCAAGGAGGTCTTCTGAAGAATTGCACGAGAGCAAAATGGAACCAGGCTGAATTTGGCATTTGGGGAGAAGGGACCAAAATAAGATTTTAAAAATGTACCGGTAAATGGTTTGGAGGTCTTTGGGGTTTATGGAGAAAAATAAAATCCTGAAACTCTCCTCACGATGAATCTGGATGGGTGGGGCAGTTGAGTTAGCAGCACCATTCTAGATCTCTCTCCGGTCCTGTGGCACGAAGTGGAGCATTTGCAGACTCACCCTGTCCTAGTCCACATGCAACATAAGGAGGGGGACCAAAAATGCCCATTCCCACCTTGCTGAGGTATATCACAATGGCTGTGTATGTGGACACTCAACAACCATCAATAAAATAAGAAATTGATCACAGAACATAGAATCAGTTTTCCACGTTGTCTCATTTCTATAAGGGCTGCCCAAAATTTGCCTACCGTGTGGGTAAGTAGATAACTCTACTGTGGGAAAGAAACTCGAAAGTTTTACATCCGCCTGGGTGCCATAGCAGCACACTATACATTCCCCCACCCCCACATATCTCAAATGAGAAAGGTGCAGTGCAATGGAATTGTTGCACTATTTCAGGCTGCCCAACATTATCTGGGGAGCAAACATGCTCAACTAAGGGAATTTTGGACACTACAAGAATAAATTATGTTTAGGCCTAAAAAGTTCTTCAATCCGAAAGCGAAGGCAATTCAGGTTTGCCGATTAGGAGATGCATTGTGCAGCCTTCAATGCATTTATTCATTGCATTATTATTTATTCATGTGATTTATTTTTATGAGCATTTGCACGCTCCCAATTTCCTCCCCAATTTTAAATAGCTTGCATTTTTGCCTTTGGAGATAAATCTGATTAACCCATTCTCATCTGTTTAAGGAAAAAAAAGTAAGGCACATTAAAATACTTTCTTCTCATTTCTACAAAACATTGCCTTGATGCCAAGTGAGGGATTTGGGTTGGAGAGTGTTCGGAAGACGACAAATCTGCCTTTAATAACACCAGCGTTTTTCTTTCTTAACTCAAAAAATTTCACCACGCCCAATGGTGGCTCATTTTCAGAAGGCTTCTGGCCAGGATGGCGTAGCTTCAGCTTGCCCCAGGGAGCCTCCTGCTCAAAGCTAAGCTCAGCCATGGAAAGGGGAGAGGGATTTTGGGGTCAATCTGACTAACTGTCTCAATGATTCAATCTCAAATCTCCAGACACAGAGCTATGGAGGAGTGAATGGTATGTACTGTATGCTTACTTTGAACACCTGAAGGAAAGGTTGGATTTAAATTGCAACAAAACAATTTTTTTAAAAAAAAATTAAATTAAAAGGTGAATGAATAGTTGTCATTAAATTCACAGTAAATTGGGAGGCAGACAACAATACATTTTCCTCCTCCATTTTGCATAGCTCTATAGCGCCTGCCTTCACAGAAGTAAGGAGTTAACTTCGATGCTCGTCACCATATTTGCAGCAAGATAGTTGTAAAGATAAAGCAAGATAGGAAAAGACAGTTTCCCTCCTTTGGGAAACGGAGGAAGGCAATTTCTCCTCGGCAAGCTTCTGCCCCACATGACGCTGCTGGAAAGGGGGCTGTGAAATCCAGATGTATTTGCTGCAGCTGTCAAAAAAAATGGGACAATAATAGCAAGATTCAGAGCTTCTGAAATGGATGCCCTCCTAGTGCTTTAGATGAGGGGTCTCCAACCTTGGCAACTTTAAGCCTGGCGGACTTCCAACTCCCAGAATTTCCCAGCCCGCAAAGCTGGGTAGGGGTTTTTTTTGACCACCTACTCATCTCAAACGCCACTGCCGGCAATCAATGTCCTCGATCAGGATCCAGGAAATGCCCCACCTGCCCTCTAGAACAAGATTTCCCCTCCCCGAGATCTAAATGGCCCCCTCTCTGCTCTTGTTTAGAACAGAGGTCTCCAACCTTGGCAACTTTAAGACTTGTGGACTTCAACTCCCAGAATTCTGGGAGTTGAAGTCCACAAGTCTTAAAGTTGCCAAGCTTGGATAGCTAACTGAGGAATTCTGGGAGTTGAAGTCCACAAGTCTTAAAGTTGCCAAGCTTGGATAGCTAGCTGAGGAATTCTGGGAGTTGAAGTTCGGCAGGCTTAAAGTTGCCAAGGTTGGAGACCCCTGCTTTTGATGGCCTCTGCAATGGGTGCTCAACGTTTTTCTAACAGCATGGCGGGGGGGGGGGGGAGGTAGCAAGCCCTTCAACGACAGCACCTGTATCCCCATCATGGCAGGCATGCATAGGATTCACTTCTGCAGGAGAGGATCAAAGAGCCCCCACTCGAACGCCAGCATGGCTTGAGGATTCAGCCGCTCTTTGGGTTTCCGGAAGCTCTCTCTGGCCTTGCAGAGAGCGGCGAAGGCCTCAAGAGGAGCAGATTTGCCCGTGAACTTCTGGATCGGTTCTTCCCTGGAACAGCAAATAAAGCCCACTTATCAAACCCAAGAGATCGTCAGCAGGGATAGGAGGTGCCAGAATGTCCTTAGAATCCGAATGCAACCATCACCGTATCTTGAATTATAACTGGTTTCACGGTATGTTCTGCAGAGTAGGGGTGTTTGTGGTAGCCGTGGTGGCATGGGTTAGAATGCAGTATTGCAGGCTGACTTTGCTCACTGCCAGGAGTTCAATCCTGACTCGGCCTTCCACCCTTCCAAGGTTAGTAAAATGAGGACCCAGATTGTTGGGAGCAGTAGGCTGATTCTAAACCGGTCAGAGAATGCTATACAGCACAATGAAGCATGTCAGAATATTCATGACTGGAAAGACATGGTAACAAGGTCAGCCAATTGGGAGCTGAGACAGGACTGGAGCCAGGGCGTGTCTTAGTCTGCAGCTTCTGATTCTGTGCAGAGAAAAAGAAACTGAAACCAAGCAGTGTGTTAAGCTCTGAGCTGTACTCTTATGTGTGTGAACATGTCTGCTCTGCTGAAAATGGAACTAACTGTTCTCTCCTGCCTTGTGTTGTAACTGCTACCGTGTTTCCCCGAAAATAAGATCCTGTCTTACATTTCTTTGAACCCTGAAATAAGTGCTTGGCCTTATTTTCAGGGAAGTCTTATTATTTTGGGGCACATGGAGCAAGACAGGGCTCCTCTTGCCGTCTTACGTGATTTCCAACTCTGTCTCCCTAACCCTAACCAGAGGAAATGACCGGGACCGGCTGTGCATGCATGCGTTTAAATATTTTCAGGGAGGGTTTATTTTTGGGGAGGGCTTATTTTCAGAGAGGGCTTATTTTAGTGCACGCGCTCAAAAGCCCGATTGGGCTTACTATCAAGGGATGTCTTATGGGAAACGGGGTACTATGTTGAAGAAGAATCAACTATCGGTATTGTAAATACTTCATCTGTTACTATGTGTATAAAGAAGTTAATGAATCCTGCTGAATCAGTTTATCTGTGTGTGCTTCTGGATTTGATTTTTGCAAAAAACTCTAACAAAGCGGTATGTAAGTGCTACTGCTGGATGGCGCAGTGGTTAGAATGCAGTATGAGCCGTGGTGGCGCAGTGGTTAGAATGCAGTACTGCAGGCTACTTCTGCTGACTGCCAGCTGCCTGCAATTTGCCGGTTCAATCTTCACCAGCTCAAGGTTGACTCAGCCTTCCATCCTTCCGAGGTGGGTCAAAGGAGGACCCAGATTGTTGGGGGCAATAGGCTGACTCTGCTTAGAGAGGGCTGTAAAGCACTGTAAAGCAGTATATAAATCGCTATTGCTATTGTGTGATTGAAGCCTTTCACATTTCATGGTTAAACATAAAAAGGTCAGGGCTTCAATCCCATGATCAGGCCCAGAACTGTGACCTCCTTGATGTTGCCCTTGCAGATACCCTGGGAAGAAAACCCACAAAGGCTTATTCTGGCGAATCTCACCCCCTACCTATTCTTGACTGTCTTACGTACCCAGCCTCTTTTCTCAAAATTATGCTACAGTTGTGGAGTGTTTGTGTGTGACTCCAGAGAAGATGCATAAAATGTTACTGACAAATGCTACCTCTGTGGCCACACTTTCTGCTTCTAAATCCAAGATGCTGCCTCTATTTTAATTCAAGATGAAAGGAAGCGTTGGCTGGGTTTATGCAAAACAGTAAAACTGTAGCGAGAACCCAACTCTTCGCATCTTGTTAGAACATGTTCCACCCTAGTGGAATCCATAGGGGAAACCCGTGTTTGTTATATAGTGTATTGTGTGAACTCAGATCAAACAGACCCTTAAAGCACAGGATTCAGAAGTTGGATGGTCTGGGGAGACCCACGTTCAGATCCACTCAGGGTGTGCTCTGCTTACGATCTCAAGTGCAGCAATACCCAGAAGCCCACTCTCAACCACAAAAGATGGACTAAAGTTAAAGGTAAAGGTTCCCCTTGCACATATGTGCTTGTCATTCCCGACTCTAGAGGGCGGTGCTCATCTCTGTTTCAAAGCCAAAGAGCCAGCGCTGTCCGAAGACGTCTCCGTGGTCATGTGGCCGGCATGACTCAACACCAAAGGTGCATGGAACGCTGTTACCTTCCCACCAAAGGTGGTCCCTATTTTTCTACTTCCATTTTTTACCTGCTTTCGAACTACTAGGTTGGCAGAAGCTGGGACAAGTCACAGGAGCTCACTCCGTTACACGGCAGTAGGGTTTCGAACCACCGAACTGCCCACCTTTCGATCGACAAGCTCAGCATCTTAGTCCCTGAGCCACCGTGTCCCTTGAAAGATGGGCTAGTCACCCTCAAGCCCACCAATCTCATGGGTGTCTGTACAAGTGGGTAGAGTGGCTAAACACGTTGCCTTGAGTTCCTGGGAGAAAGGTGGGACAGAAACCAAAAAAACTCCTGACCCCTCTCCCTCCCCTCCATTAAAGAAACGTGGGCTCACAAGATGCGAAGGAACGGGTTGTAGAGGAACTCCTCGGCCAAAGTAGAAGGCACTGTTGGAAGGTCTTCATCTTCTCGGAGCTGTGAAAGAATAAATCAGTGAGACCAGGTCATGGCTGCCGTTCTGCTAGCTTCGCATCGCATCACATCTTGCCAGCCTGACATTAGCAACGTGTGTGTGTGTGTGTGTGTGTTTGTGTGTGGAATGGAGTGGGAGAGAGGTTGGAATGTGGGAAGACGGGGGAAGATTGGGAACTAATCCATGCCGGCGTGAAAAGTGAGAGGCACCAATGCAGTCCAAGTCAACCAAAAGAATGCGGAGACAGAGAAGGCACAAATTGAGAGTCCATCACCTAAACAAGAGAACTCCTAATTGGACATTGACTGATAACCAGGAGTGAAGGGATGTGTGTGGCCAGCAAGAAAGGGAAAGTTAATTGTATCCTCTTTGCGTGCCAAACCAGCAGATTCTGCTTCACTACTTCTGTAACTACTTTTGCTTTCAGTAACGTATATTCTTGGAAACAATGAGCCGGGAATCTTTCTTTGCTAACTAAGCACCTTAAGTTTCTTTGCTAACTACCGTGTTTCCCCGAAAATAAGACCCCGTTTTATATTTTTTTGAACCCTGAAATAAGCGCTTGGCCTTATTGCCATGCCCTCAAAAGCCCGATTGGGCTTGTTTTCAGGGGATGTCTTATTTTGGGGGAAACAGGGTAACTAACATGTTTCTTTGCTAACTAACTAACTTAAGTTTCTTTGCTAACTACCGTATTTTTCGGAGTATAAGACACACCTACCTTTTTTGGTGAGGAAAACGAGAAAAAGAAATCTGCCTCTGCCTCAGAGCAATTTTGCTTCATTGCAGCAAACAGCAAACAGCCTGCTTTATTTTCATTTTCGTTTTCAGCATAGCTTGATTAGTCCAAGGAAAAAAAAAATCTGCTCCAGCAATTTACCTCCTTGCAGCAAGCAGCAGAGCCCTGTGCAAAACAGCTGAGAGCAAATCAGCTGAGTCAGGAAGCCGATCCAATCAACTTGTGCTAATTAGTCTGTGCTGAAGCTGAAAGGAGCTGTTTTTTCTTGCTGTTTGCTTGCAAGGAGGTAACTGCTGCGAGGCAGAGGCCAAAGGGTGGGGGCCAGTGGGTGGGCGGGGCTACATTCGGTGTATAAAATGCACCTAAATTTTCACCCCCTTTTAGGGTGGGGAAAGGTGTATGTCTTATACTCTGAAAAATACATTAACTAACTTAATTGGGACAGATGACAGACCTTTTCCAATATACTTGTACAATGTACCAAATGTCCTTGTGGTTGATCCCAAGAAACTACAAAAGACTTAGGGGGATGAGTAGCCGTGCTCTAACCTAGGGCCGTCTTAACAGCATTATGGACCCCCGGCCAAAGCAGTGTACTGAAGCCCCTACGACAACTACTCACAGGAATAAAAATGTAAATGGTCGATAAAATTAAACATCTATTTGCATGTTAGTGTTAATTAAAAAATGCAGTAAAATGTAATAAATATGTTGCTGTATTTATATGAATCAAGGTGCATTGAAGGGTTAACATACAGAGATTAGTATGTTAACTAATCCTATGCTCCTATGCTCGTGGGGCCCACGCGGCAAGTGCCCATCAGGCCCATCCTTTAAGACAGTCCTGCTGTTACCTCTGATCCAGCAAACTGGGGTGTTTTCAAATCCTTTTGATTTTTTAAAAAACAAGCAAAAGGAAGGGGTCTTTCAATCACATGGCCATTCGGAGTTGTTCCCGATCCCAAATGCCACTGCCAGCAATCAAGGTTTGTATTCCATTGTTCAGTAGTTGAGAACGATGTGTTCTGCCACCAATGTTGGCTTATACCAGAAGCCATGATTGTCAGCCCTGGAGGCCATCTTTTTCTTTGGATCTTCAGGGCTGCCACACTTAGTGCTGTGGGAAAGTGGCAGGGGGGTTGTATGGAATTGGTAGAGTTATTTAGCCATAACAACATTCTTTTCTGTGAGATCAAGGACATTCAGCCTGCACCTGGAGTGGCGTGACTGGGAGGCATCTCCAGTTGGGACGGTGTTTTGATTGGACCATGTGATGGACATGTGGGTGCAGAGAAAGGGACTTGGATTTTCTTTTGAGTGGGGAAAACCTGGAAGCTTTCCGATTCGGGTTTTCCCAGATGTGCCAATATGACATCTCTAATAAAATGGGACTTTGAGGAATTGATTGCCTCGGGAGTCTTATTTGGTTGGGGGTGTTACTTGGAACCCTGACAATGATTTAAACAATCCAGAGTCTAGCAGGACCTTTGAAGCAATCACTAAGCTAATTAGAGACTGATGTTACTGGTCATAATTCTGACTTTTATAAAGGCTTCAATTTCGGAAAGATAAAAGAGTTGGGAGAAGAGTATAGAACCACTCACTTTAGCCCAAATGAGCTTTTCTTTCACAAATTCATTCTCTGGTTCCACCTTTGAGGCAAACTTCAAATTCTGGGTTGTGTACTCGTGTCCACAAAAGATTTTCTGAAAAGGAAATTTTTTATTTTTATTTCAGGCTACCACATCCAGAGTGATTCTCCTTGGAATCCCTTCCGTCCACAAACTTCAAACGCCCTTAGTGACGGTTGTCAAAAACCGGAAATGTGGTTTCTCAGATTTTTGAGAAAGCGAATTTTGTGGTTCTGTCACAAAAACGGTGTCAAGGAATTGTCACAAAAAAGACACTGTGGTTCATAAAATAGAGGTGGCTTTTTCAAATTAAGAACGGACCCTTTTCCAACTTCTCCCTCAATCTGGGAGAGGGCAATCATTAAAAAAAAAAATTCAATCATATGTGATATTATCCACTCTTTGTCAGGGATATTTTAATTTATATTCTTGTCCTCTAGGGCTGTTTGCCAACTATCAGCTTCGCCTTCTCCCAAAGTGCTCCCTAGGCACTGTATCAGGGGTGAAATGTAAAATTTGTTACTACCGGTTCTGTGGGAGGTAATGTGACTGGGTGGGCGTGGCCAACTTTTTTTTTTTTTAACTTTTCAAAGCATTTTTTCTAATGCTTTGAAAAGCCTCTGACAATCAGGCAACTCAGCTGGGATCATCAGAGACTTTTCAAAGCATTTTTTTTACCACCTCTTCGGCCAAGAGGTTGCAGAAAAAAATGCTTTGAAAAGCCTCTGACGATCCCAGCTGAGCCGCGCGATCATCAGAGGCTTTTTTTTTTTTACTTTTAAAAACATTTTTTTGTCGGAAGAGGTTGTAGAAAAAATGCTTTTAAAAGTAAAAAAAAAAAGCCTCTGATGATCGTGCAGCTCAGCTGGGCATGGTGGGGGGGGGGGGGGGGGGGGGGGGAGGGCCATCGGTTCTCCAAACCATCCACCGCCATCGCTACCAGATCAAGCGATCCGGTCCAAACCGGGAGCATTTCACCCCTCCACTGTACATCTTTAAACGTTTTCAATCAAATGAAAATCACTATCGAAACAAGTTCATGGCATAAAATTGAATCACAGCACTTTCCCACTACAATCCCAGATTAAAATTCAGGCTATCAAGAACTAAACAGAGCTTGAATATTAAAAGACCATGCAATGGCAATAGCACTTCAGACTTATATACTGCTTCATAGTGCTTTACAACCCTCTCTAAGCAGTTTAAATAGGCAGCCTCTTGCCCCCAATAATCTGGGTGCTCATTTTACTGACCTCGGAAGGATGGAAGGCTGAGATAAACTTGAACCGGTCAGAATCAAACTCCTGGCAGTCAGCAGAATTAGCCTGCAATACTGCACTCTAACCACCATGGCGTGAAAGAGAGAGGCAGATAGAGGGATGCTAGATAGAGAGATGATAGAGAGATAGGGATGATAGAGAGATAAATAGCAATAGCACTTAGACTTAGTACATACCGCTCCACAGTGCTCTCCAGCCCTCTCTAAGCAGTTTACAGGGTCAGCCTATGGCCCCCAACAATCTGGGTCCTCGTTTTACTGACTTTCAGAAGGATGGAAGGCTGAATCAACCTTGAGCCCATCAAGATCGAACTGCTGGCAGTCGGTAGAGTTAGCCTGCAATACTGCCTTCTAACCACTGGCCATTATAGGAATAGAATAGGAATAGGATTAGAAAGAAATAGAATAGAAAAAAATAGAATAAGAAATAATAGCAATAGCACTTAGACTTATATACCGCTTCACAGTGCTTTTACAGTGCTCTCTAAGTGATTTACAGAGTCAGCCTCTTGCCCCCAACCATCAGGGTCCTCATTTTACCCACCTCGGAAGGATGGAAGGCTGAGTCAACCCTGAACCGGTCAGGATCGAACTCCTGACTATGGGCCAGTAGTGCATTCTAACCAGAGGGAGGGAGGGATTTAGGAAGGAACAAAAGAAGGAAGGAAGGAAAGACATGGAGAGAAGGAAGGAAGGAAGGAGAGGGATGGAGGGAGGGAAGGAGGAAGGAAGGCCCCCAACAATCAGGGTCCTCAACCTTGAGCCGGTCCGGATCGAACTGCTGGCAGTGATCAGTGAGTTAGCCTGCAGTCCTGCATTCTAACCACTGCGCCACCAGGGCTCTTAAAATAAATACTTAAAAAGCACGAAAAATTGGGAAAGGCTTCTGGGTTGGGTGGTAGCAAGGTGGCCACCGTGGCTTTGCTGTGGTCAGCTGAGGGCCATTTCCAAAACGAGAAGGTGGGAAATTGACAGTTGAGGCAACCAGGGCTGAGGGGTTGACTGGAGGCCCAGGCCTGCCTTTGGGTACCAAGTTTTGCCTAAACCTTCTATGCTCTTTTATCCCCACCTCTGGCCCTCAAATGGGAACCTCCACAGGGCAGGAGGGCCCTTTCCTCAGCTTTGGAGCCTGGCACCTCAGCGGCAGCAGAAGCCGTTCAAACCTACCGTCTCCTTTGGCAGCCCACCCAGGACCTCCATCAGGCTCTTGTACAGCTGTTCAGCTGTGCATTCCAGGAGTCTCCCACAACCACCGACAAATAAGGTGTCACCTAAGAACGAAAAAAAAGATGCACAATCAATCCACAATTTCACACCCACCCACCCCACTCCAACCACTTGATCACTTTAACACTTCTCAAGAAGCAGGGCAATTAAAACACCTTCCTAGCAACCGAGTGTCATATTGCATTACGATGTTTGTTTACAGGTAGACCTCGACTTTCAACGGTTCTCTTAGTGACCATTCGAACTGACAATGGCACTGATAGATAGATGATAGAGAGATAAATAGCAATAGCACTTAGACTTATATACCGCTCCACAGTGCTCTACAGCCCGCTCTGAGCAGTTTACAGAGTCAGCCTATTGTCCCCCAACAATCTGGGTCCTCATTTTACCCACCTCGGAAGGATGGAAGGCTGAGTCAACCTTGAGCCTGGTGAGAATCAAATTGCCAAACTGCAGTCAGCTGGCAGTCAGAAGAAATAGCCTGCAGTATTGCACTCTAACCATTATAAAGAAACACAAATTGTTGTGCCCAGCCAGCAGCCAGCAGAGCTGGCAGCAGATTCGGACAGTGAGGAGGTTAAGGAGGAACGTGGGCCAGTCCTGGGGTATGGGGAAGGCTCGGATGAGGGCTCTCCGTCAGAGGCAGAGAGGGGGCCAAGGCCATTTGATAGTTATGTGCAGCCTCTAGAGTCTGACAGCAGTGAGGCAGAATAACAGCAGGAGCCGGTTCCCAGTGTTGGATGCTGATTTAATAGGGCCAATGAAGGCTAGTTTAGGGGGTGCTTGCTATGTTCTCAGTATAGTTGACCATTATTCAAGGTATGGTTTTTGCTACCTATTGAAGTCTAAGGTAGATACTTTTCGGTATTTTGTTCAATGGATTAAGTTTGTGGAGAGAAAAACAAATAAAAAAATAGTTACCATTGTAACTGACAATGGTACTGAGTTTGTCAACACAAGGTTTAAATCAATGTTAGCTAATGCTGGTATAAAGCACAAATGTTCGACTCCATATCGGCCACAGCATAACTCGTATGTTGAAAGGAAAGGACAAACTCTACAAGCAATGATGAGATCAATGTTAGCTGATGCAGGTTTACCGGCTAATTTATGGGAAGAAGCCATTATGTGTTCAAATACACTCTTAAACAGCACCATAAATACAACCACTAACAAAATTCCATATACCGTATGGCATGGAAGGAAGCCAGATTTGAGCTACATACACAAATTTGGATCACCTGCATGGGTACATACTCCAGCGCAGTTAAGGCGTAAAGGCCAGAGTAGGGCACAACAATTAATATTTGTTGGTTATAATTCAAACCACAGGTCCTACAGATTTTGGATAAAAGGAACAGCAACGGTAGTTAGCAGTGCAAATGCCAGGTTTATGGAGCATGTAGGGTGGAATAAATTAGGTACTGAAAATGAGTTTATCATCGAAACTGAAGCTACCAATGAAATACCAGAGAGCCAGAGCGAAGAGGCAGAGAAAGATGTAGTAAAGGAAGAGGTGAAGGTGGAGAGGCAATCTGTAAGTCCTGAACTCCCAAGAAGGTCGAGTAGAGTAACAAGACCACCTGATAGGTATCAGGCAACTACAGTCTATCAAGTAAATAAAGTCCCTACTACATTTAATGAGTTGACCACGTTTCCACCTGAAGACCAGAAAGTGTGGAGAGGTGCAATGACTAAAGAACTACAATCTTTGCAGAATTTGCAAGTATATGAGTATATGAATTGTAACAATTCCAAAAGGAAAAACTATACTCGGGAGTAAGTGGATATATAAATTAAAGACTGGGATAGATGGGATACCAATATATAAAGCTAGGCTAGTAGCTCAAGGATTTAATCAGTCTCCTAATGATTACGATGAAGTATTCGCTCCAAGCTTAAAAGCTATTACATTAAGAGCAGCGTTAGTATGGGCAGCTAGAAATAAATATACAGTTACCCATTTAGACGTAGAAACCGCATATCTGCATGCACCATTACAGCATGAAATTTATTTAAATAAACCCTCAGGATTTGAGGAAAATGGGAAAGCTGACTGTTGGTTATTAAAGAAAAGTCTGTATGGGTTAAAACAGTCAGGTTATGAATGGAACCAGTGCATTGTAAAAACATTGAAGATTATTAGATTTAAAGCAGGATTAGCAGATCCATGTTTATTTAAAATGGAAAGGGATGGTATAGTATCATTATTACTTCTTTTTACAGACGATATAGCTCTGATTACAAAGAATGAGCAAGAGGCCAACAGGATTGTTGATGAATTAAAAGCTCATGTCAGGATTAAAAATCTAGGGGAGATACAACAATACCTAGGTGTAAGGATCGAAAAGACTAGGGGAGGATTTAAATTATCCCAAACTGATAAAATTAATAATCTATTACAACAGTTCAGAATGGAATTGTGTAAACCATCAAAGACACCTATGGTTCAAGATTATTGCAACACTGATGTGCAAAGTCCGTTGTTTGATAAAGGAATATACCAATCGTTGATTGGCAGTTTATCATACATAAGCAATTGGTCTAGACCCGATATTTCTTATAGTGTGAACCAATTAGCTGGATTCAACACGGAACCTACAGAAAGACACTGGCAAGGAGCAAAATGTATTCTTAGATATCTGAAATATACCATGCATCATGCATTGTATCTACAACCATCAGAAGAATTGCATGTAACCGCTTATGCAGATGCTAGTTTTGCAACAGATGTGAATACAAGAAAATCAACCTCAGGAATCGCTGTATTTCTGGGAAAATCTTTGATATGGTGGCGTTCAATAAGACAACAGCATTTAAGTATGTCTACAATGGAAGCAAAGTTTTCTTGTTTATCTTTGTTATGTACGGATTTGATCAGTATTAAGCAGCTGATGCTAGATTTAGGAATAGATATACAAGATCCTATAATAGTATACGAAGATAATCAGGCAGCAATAAATATGGCGACAAATATAGCTGTAAAGACTAGAACAAAACATACAGATTTTCGGTATCTCAATGTAAGAGAATGTATAATGAACAAAATGATAGAACTTGTATATTGTGCATCAGAAAACAATGTAGCCGATCATTTCACAAAAGCACAGGGAAGTAGGAAACATATAGATACATGTGAACAGTATGGTTTAAGATTGTAAATATATTAGTATTGGGTAGCCAAAGGGGAGAATGTTGGATGCTTATCCTACGGTTGGGTAGATAATATATAGAAAACTATGTTCTGTAACTTTAACTGCTGCAAAGATGACTAATTGGCTGTGCTAAGCAGACATATAAGGAAGGCAGGAAGTTCGTTCCCTTCTGCTCTCACTTCTGCTCCTGCTCCTGCTCCTGCTCCTGCTATTGAAAGTTGAACTGCTTGAAGGAACTGTGTCTGTGTTTGAAGAGAACTGGAATTGTAAGCAAACTATGTTTTGTGTTAAACCGTGATTGTTTGGAGAAGTTGTTTTGAGAAGCCAAGTTTGTTTTTTTACTACAAGTAAAGACTGTTTATTTTTCTTTAAACGTTCAGAGTCTGTGACTATCCGTGTGTTTTGCTAAGCATCGTATCTATTCGCTGTCTGGTCCGTTGCACTACTTTGCAGAGGGCAGTTTTACCCTCAACACCCAGTGTGCGCATCCGCAGAGCTGCCAGGAGACAGGAATAATTAAGGAAAGAAGGTCGATTTGGGAGTAAGGCTTGGAGATGACTGGCCACTCCCATAAGGCATAAAAGAGAAGCGAACGGGACATGAGCTTTTGCAGGAAGCAATTAGTTCATCTGGCCAATTCAAGATTTGAAACTTCTGTTTGTGACTCTGTGCCACGTTTGGCCTTGCCCTGCGTCTGGAAATTAGCTCTCTGGCAGCGTTCCACGTGAGATAAGTGGGTGTTGATAACCTTCCTCTGAAAGACTGTTTATCAAGCCTTGCGGACTGTAAATGAAAGTAATTTACAGCCGTATGAATTAAAGAGGTTTGCCTGGACTAAGTTTGTGCTGTTTAATTTCTAAGGAAGCCTGGGTCAGAACACAAATGGGCTGGAACTATTCACACAACACTCTGGTTCAATCATTTGTACATCCAGCAGATGCATTCTGCTAAGCTTGGCAACCTAATCTTGTTGACTTTATTAAATCTGGGCATCTTACCATGTCGCGGCCACCCTAGGTTTTGTGAACCTAGAAAACAAGTTAACCTAAAACTGTTTCAACAGCTTTGTGTGCAATGAGCAATTTCTCCATTCCCTAAGGCTGGCTCCTGGATGTCCTCAACCACAGGACCACAACTCCCGTTCACTTCTCAGGACCAACCTGTGAAAGCTGCAGGAGCATTCAGAGAATCGTTTTCCCACACGAAGTAGCAGACGTGTCCCACGGTGTGGCCTGGAGTGAGAAGGCACCGTATATTGATGCTGCCAAACTGTCCAAAAGAAAAAGAAGAATGGGTTGTGGGTCAAAGTCCAAGACAGCTGCCAACCATCCACCCATGCTTGAAATGGTCCCAAATCGCACACGCTTGCTGAGTTCCCACAACATTCTAGACGAGGCTGAAGTAAGGTGGGCTCATTCTGGGTTCTGGGTGTGATGGGAAGGCAGTCTTTGCCTTAGCAAGTGCAGTGTGACCATGTCAATCCTGAGAAAGCATCAATTCAGTAGTGGCAAATAGAATAATAGAGTTGGAAGGGACCTTCCAGTAATGAAGCTCCCACAACTTCTGAAGGCAACATCTGTTCCATCGGTTGATGATTCTCACTGTCAGGAAATTTCTCCTTATTTCTAGGTTGAATCTCTCCTTGTTCAGTTTCCATCCATGATTCCTTGTCTGGCCTTCAGGTGCTTTGGAAAATAGCTTGACCCCCTCCTCTCTGTGGCAGCCCCTCAAATATTGGAAGACTGCTCTCATGTCTCCCCTGGTCTTTCTCTTCACTAGACTAGCCATGCCCAGTTCCTGTAACCGTTCATCGTATGTTTTAGCCTCCAGTCCCCTCATCATCTTTGCTGCTCTTCTCTGCACTTTTTCTAGAATCTCAATATCTTTTTTATAGTGTGGTGACCAAAATTGGATGCAGTACTCTAGGTGTGGTCTTACTAAGGGTTTGTAGAGTGATATTAGTACCTCCCTTGATCTTGATTGTATCCCTCTGTTAATGCAATTTAGGATTCCATTGGCTTTTTTGGCTGCCAGTGCACACGGCTGGCTCCTATTTAGCTGGTTGTCCACTAAGACTCCAAGATCCCTCTCACAGTCACTGCTATTAAACCTGGTTTCATCCAGTCTATATGTGTACTTTTGGTTTTTCCCCGATACTGACATCCCCTAAATTCTGCTGAAGATGTTACCTAGCCTGGTAACAAAAGGTTTGTAAACCAACAACCCACACAAGCTTGGGGAACGAATCTCTACCCTCAAACATCAATTCCCCTCCAAGGTGGAGGAAAACACCCTGCAGTCAAGTCCCAAGGAACGCCAAGCAGCCGCCAGCAGCACAATAGGCTGAGCATGGACCCGCTGTCACAAAGGGCAGGCCAGGAGGTTGCACATTTCAACTACACCCTAAATGCCTACTACTGCCAGTTGCTAAAAAGAGTCAACAGAGAGTGACCCAAAGGAGATACTCTGACCCTAACGCATGAAGAAAAGTGCAAACAACGTGAATCATAACATCTGGGCACGTGCTGGCGGGCAGGGGTGGGGGGAGAGAACAAATCAATTTGTGTCATGTATGTGATGATGTTACATACAAATGAAATCTGTGGATAGTTTTTGACTTCCCTGTAACTAAGCCATACTATCATCATCTTCTTTTAATGACCCCATAATCCCTTGTGAGGTAGAGTCTAGGCAACTGAATGGAGTTGAGTGTTTACTGGCCAGATGCCCTTCCTGTCGCCAATGCGGAGTTTTGTTCAGCAGATACATTCTCATCATTCCCAGAGAGAGAAATATCTGCCTTTATCTAGGATCAAACTCACAGCCTCCTTGTGAGGATACCACAATCATATTGAAAAAGGGTGTGATCCGTTCCGTGCTTACCTTTAACTCCTCCTCATGAGTCACTTGGTGTGTCAGAGCTCCCACTCGTTCGTCCCCACCGTATACCTCCAGGCCGGGATAAAGTTTGGCCAGTTCTTCATTGTCTCTTGCATGATCCCTTGGGGAAAAGAGGAGGAAGAGGGACGTTTTTTTTCCTTCTCTTCAGCTGTGTCCAATTTGGAGGAGAGAGAAGAGACTTGTCGGGGAAAAAAAAACAGAACTTGTCTAGTCTTTTTCAAAATTTTTGCACCCCATTTGCAGGCTGAGAGGTTCTTTGATTCCCACCCTCTCCCCCCCCCAATTTTAAAGAATTAAAACAATTATCCTTCAATAATTTCTCCAAAATGGGCCCGACCCAACAAAATTAATTTTAATGTGGAGAAAAGCAAATGTCAGGATTTGGTGTCGTCTCAAATAAACTGCATTTCAAACAAATAGTCCTTGATCAAAATCTTTCATTTATTAAGCACAACAATCGAAACTCCGACTCAGTTGCAGCCAACACTGACTTCCTGGTCCAAACCCTCCCTTTCCTTTCCCCACTGCTCTGCTTTTCATTGGCCATCTTCCAAGTCACTCTGCTGTTACCTACTACTTCAGCTCAAAGGAATTTCCCCCCTCCCAACCCATCTCCTAGGGGATAGTATCTCCAGGGAAAATAAGTCGGTGAAAAGTCAAGCGTCCTCTTGCCAGATGCCCCCACCTTCTCCTTCTTATGTCAGCACTGGAGTGAATGCAGCTTGGAGTGCTGACATCAAAATTTTACATTTAGGCAGGAACAAAATCAAAGGTATAATTACAGATTAGGTGAGATCTGGATCAAAAACAGTAACTGTGAGAGGGACCTTGGAGTCTTAGTGGATGATCATTTGAATATGAGCCAGCAGTGTGTGGCAGCAGCCAAAGAAGCTAATAAAATCCTGGGTTGCATAAACAGAGGCATAGAATCACAATCACGTGAAGTATTAGTACCGCTTTATAAAGCCCTAGTAAGGCCACACCTGGAATACTGGAAGGAGCCTGAGTGGCGTAGGAGGCTAATGCCTCCTACTAAGGCAGCATTTAACATCCAGCTGCCTGCAATTACTGCGAGTTCAATTCTCATCAGGCTCAAGGTCGACCTTCCATCCTTTCTAAGGTGGGTAAAATGAGGACCTGGTTTGTGGGGGCAATAAGCTGACTTTGTATAAAAATATACAAAAGTATGAAGGCTATTGCTTAACGCATTGTAAGCAGCCCTGAGTCTCCGGAGAAGGGCGGCATATAAAAATAAATTTAAAAAAAAAAAAACTGCAACCAATTTTGGTCACCATACTACAAAAAGGATATTGAGACTTTGGAAAAAGTTCAGAGAAGAGCAACTAAGATGGTTAAGGGACTGGAGACTAAAATATATGAAGAACGGCTGCAGGATCTAAAGGAAAGAAGAATTGGGGGTGACATGATAGCAGTGTTCCAATATTTGAGGGGCTGCCACAAAGAAGAGGGGGTCAACTTATTTCCCAAAGCATCAGAAGGCAGGACAAGAAATAATGGATGGAAACTAACCAAAGGGAGAAGCAACCTGGAATTAAGGAAAAACTTCCTGACAGTGAGGACAATTAATTAGTGGAAGGATTCAGTCTTGAACTAGGAAGGATTTCAGATGAGACCTTAGTAAGACCACACTTGGAATGCTTCATCCAGTTTTGGTCACCCTATTATAAAACAATGTTGGGACTCTGGAGAGACTGCAGCAAATAGCAACACAGATGAATAGAGGGCTGGAGGCTAAAACATATGAAGAACATTTGCAGGAATTGGGTTTGTCTAATCTAGAGAAAAGAAGGACCAGGGGTGACGTGATAGCAGTATTTCAATATTTGAGGGGCTGCCACAAAGAAGGGGGGGGCGTGTCAACTTATTCTCCAAAGGACCAGTAGGCAAGACAAGAAACAATGGATGGAAATTAACCAAAGAGAGAAACTTTCTAACAGTGAGGACAATTAACCGGTGGAACAGAAGTTGCCTTCAGAAATCGTGGGCGCTCCATCAAGGGAGGATTTTAAGAAGAGACTGGACAGTCACTTAGCGGAAATAGTATAGGTCCGTGATTAGGTGGCAAGCGGAGCCATATCTGTGGGCACGCGAGCATTGCCCTAGCTCAGCTCCAGTGCACATGTGCATGCCAGCCAGCTGATTTTTGGGCCTTCCGGTCCCACCAGAAGTCAGGAATGGGCCATTTCTAGCCTCCGGAGGGCCTCCAGGGGGGCGGGGAAGGCTGTTTTCGCCCTCCCCAGGCTCCAAGAAAGCTTCTGGAGTCTGGGGAAGGCAAAGAACGGGCCTACCTGGCCCACTGTGCCATCATGTGCCAAAAGCGGGGGCGCGGGGGGGTCATGCATGCATGCGTGTCAGGGCGGAGCACATTGAATTATGAGTGTGTGGGCACGTGCATGCATGACACACACACACCACGCTCCCCACGCTTTTGGCATGTGACGGCAAAAAGGTTAGCCATCACTGGTATATGTTCTCCTGCTTGAGCATGGGGGTGGACTAGAAGACCTCCAAGGTCCCTTCCAGTTCTATTCTATTCTACTGGGGGAAAAAATCCGCACGGAAGGCGATCTCCCCTTCGACTTGAAGGGAGGCTGCAGTTGTTTTGTTGGTGCCTCACCAATTCAGCCCATCTTGAACCTGCAGAGGGAGAAAAGCTGTTCTCTTCTCCCAAAGAACCAGTGCAAGAGCCCGGCCGGATACTTACCAATGGTGGTGGGTGGTCAGAATGGCTTTTAGAAGAATGTCTTCCCTTCGGATGATCTCTAGGAGCTAAGGGAGGAAGAAAAAAAACACCCACAAAGAGCATAGTGCAAATTTTTTTTAAAGTCCTTAAATTTATTACTTATGAGCCATGGTGACACGATAGTTAGAATGCAGTACAGGTAAATCTTTGACTTACAACTGTTCATTTAGTAACTGTTCAAAGTTACAACAGCCTGCCAACCTTTTCCACTCTCCACCCCCCCCACTCCCCCCACCCACCCAATGCCCTAAGGCCGTGATGGTGAACCTTTGGTATGCATAGCCATATCGATGGGCATGTGAGCTCAGCTCCGGTGCGCATGTGCGTGCCAGCCAGCTGATTTCTGGGCCTTCTGGGCCCACCGGAAGTAGGGAAATAGGCTGGTTCCTGCCTCCGGAGGGCCTTGGGAGAGTGTGTGTGTGGAGAAGGCCCATTTTTCTCTCTCCCCAGGCTCCAGAGCCTTTCTAGGAGCCTGAGGAAGGCGAAAACGGCCTTCCCCACCCCAACCCCCCGGAGGCCCTCCGAGGCCGGAAACAGCCCATTTGCCATCTGGAAGTTGGCAAACAGGCCATTTCCAGCCTCCGAAGGGCTTCCAGGGGAGTGGGGAAGACTGTTTTTGCCCTCCCCAGGCTCCTAGAGAGGCTCTGGAGCCTGGGGAGAGCAGAAAACAGGCCTACTGGGCCCACCGTGCCATCACTTGCCAGGAGCGTTGGGGGGGGGTCGCACACGCATGCGTGGGGCAGGGTGCATAGAATTATGGGTGTGGGCATGTACACGCACGACCCCCCTCCCCATGCTTCCCCCGTTATGATCCCATTTACCCGCTTGGAAACAGCAGCATCCACTGCAATGGCCTCTCTGGTGGTTTCTTCAATGATCAGGTACATGTAATTGTCTTCCAAAATTGAAATCACTTTGACCTTCATGCTCCAGGGATTCAAGGATCATGGAAGCAAAACTGCCCAAAGGAAAACCACATTCATTAAAAGCAATCCCAAACCCCCTTGTCTATTTTAATTATCTTCCATACACGTTGTAGTTTCAGCAACATGTTCTAATTTATTCCAGGTTTTTCTTCCCTAAAGCTTTTCCTTTGTTGTTCTTAATATCTGGAAATCCCTTTCAAATTCTTGTATTATGCAGCCACAAGGGCTAGAAACATAGAATACTTTTAGATTTATTTGTTTGTTTGTTTGTTTGTCTTTTAATGACCCCATAATCCCTTGTGTTGGGGCAACTTAATGGAACTGAATGTTTACTGGCCGGATGCCCTTCCTGTCACCAATGCGGAGTTCGCAGCAGATGTATTCTCATTCTGCCCAGAGAGAGAAATATCTGCCTCTACCTAGGATTGAACTCACAGCCTCCTGATTGTGAGGCGAGAGCTACACCTCTAGGCCACCACACCACTCAAACATAGAATACTTTTAGATCCACTGGACTTGAAGACTTGGCTTTTCAAACAAATAGGCTGACTCTGATTCCGGGTTTTATTATTTACTATTAATTAATTATTTGGATTAAATTATGATTTTATTGTACTTGTTTCTTAACTTATGTTCACCACCCTGAGTCCTTCGGGAGAATGGCGGCATATAAATACATGTAATAAATAAATAAATAAATAAATATTCAGTGTAGTGGTTACACAAGACCAGGGGTGTGCAACCCTAAACCCTCAAAGAGCCATTTGGACCCTCTTCTTCCCACAGAAAAGAAAACACCGGGAGCCACAAAACCCTTCCGGTGCCTGACTATTTCTTGAGCGGCCACAAAACTAGCCTATATAGTTGAATTAAACGTTCTGTTTTCTTCTGAAACTTTTTTCTTTTCTTGGATTTATCCATGGTTGGCCTACCAGGGGTTGAAAAGCTCAATAAATCGTGTGCTGGCGGGTGTCACACATTGGCGGTTGTGACACATATTTTGAGTGACAGGGAGCCGCAGCAGAAGGGTGAAAGAGCCACATGCGGCTCCAGAGCCGCAGGTTGCTGACCCCTGCACAAGACCTTCCTTCAGTTTTACTCACTGAACAAGCAATTGGGGAATAGTTTGTGAAAGGAGTTCAATGTCCCTAACAATTTTGGCAAGATCCTATTGCAAGACCCTGGGATGGAGATTAAGGGGGAAAAAAACCCCTCAGGTGTTTGCTTTACACGGCAAAAGTGAAAATGGGTTTTGTGTCTGCCATTGGGCAAAGGTAGGTTTCTCTTCTTACCTGAAGAAAATATATATATATATATTTTTTCAATAGTTTTACAGCAGAAGAATTCCAGCCGGAAACCACTGCTATGGTTCAGCTGATGAGGAAGAAGGAAACGTTATCGGTTGAAAGAAAGAATTACAAATGAAAGCTGAAGCAGCACCTCATCTTCTCAACACAGGAAGGAACCAGCAGAAACACGTTAGACCCACTACTGACCAGGGCTTCTGAGGAACCAGGCCCAATGGATATAAAACTTTAGTAAGGCTCCACTTGGAATACTGCATTCAGTGTCAGTCATCAAAGATGTTGAGGCGTTGGGAAAAGTGCAAAGAAGAGCAGCTAAGACGCTTAAGGGCCTGGAGACTAAAACATAGGAAGAACGGTTGCAGGATTTGGGTATGGCCAGTCTAGAGAAAAGGACTAGGGGTAAGCTGCAAAATAAACCATCAAAAGTATGTTTTGAAATATGAAGATATGAAAAAGACGCCAAGTTACATGGTTTTTATTTGGAAAAGATTGAATTGGATAGGATACTCACAGGAACGAAGAAAAATGAGGACCCGGATTGTGGGGGCAATAAACTGACTTTGTATAAAAAAGAACACCGCTTGGGGGGCCCGAAAAGCCCTACTAAGCAGGTATATAGAAAAATATGAAGGCTATTGCTTAATACATTGTAAACCGCCCTGAGTCTCCGGAGAAGGGCGGCATATAAATTGAACCAATAAATAAATAAATAAATAAATAAATAAATAAATAAATAAATAAATAAATAAATAAATAAATAAAATTTAATAAAAAGTTTTTATAATTTTTTGCTATATATCGAATTGGAGGAGGAACAGGTAAAAGAAACAATGATAGCTTGGGGAAGAAATTTTGGACATTCAATTGATCTTGAAAAATGGCAACAACTATGGGAAAGTTGTTAAATTAACATCGTTAATAAATTAACGATGTCCACTGCATATAAGGAAAACCAATATAAAACGTTTTATAGATGGCATATGCTACCGGAGAAGTTAGCAAAAATGTTTAAAGATAAATCAGCGAAATGTTGGAAATTTGTCACCAACTACCAGGATCCTATTATCATATGTGGTGGACATGCCCTGAAGCAAAAAACTATTGGAATAAAATTAAAACCTGGCTGGAAGAAATGACACAATTACGTATTGAATTCAGAGTTGTTAATACTGGGTATCCTACCCGACAAAATTAAAAAGGGATATATTTATTTGATTATACACATAATAACAGCTGCAAGAATTGTTTATGCTCAAAATTGGAAATTAAGAGAAAATACCTTTGGAAGATGAAGTAATAAAAAAGATTTTAGATTGTGCAGAAATGAACCAATTAACTTTGTTGATTAAAGATAGGGAAGAATCAGAATACTTTAGAAGATGGAATTATTTCTATTGTTGGTTGGAAAAGAGATATAAATGATTAATTTTATAACTATGTGTAAAAATTTGATGGCAAGAAGATGCAATGAACTTTTATAGCGGTTTGGATGACGATTAAGATAGAAGAAACTGTTGGAACAAGAAAAATAAAAAGAACTGAAGAAGTCAACACCGAGATGTCACAGGGGAGGGATGATTGATGTATGTTTGTTTGTCTTAAAAAATAAAAAAACTTTTATATAAAAAAGTATGTTTTGAAATGATGGAGAACTCTGAGCTCAAAGATATATGGAGACATGTAAATGGAAATACTAAAGAACATACATACTTATCTGAAAGACACAGATCCTTTTCAAGAATAGATACATTTTGGATTTCTAAGAAATTAGCCATGTGTATTAGTAAAAACTAAGATACTACCAAACATGATCTCACACTTTAATCCAGTGTCTTTGACATTTGAGAAAGCAGAATTTACGGATGGAGGTTAAATGGGACTCTATTACAAAAAGAATCAGTAATCAAAGACTATAAAAAAACTGAAATTTTTAAAGAATAATCTAAATAAAAGTGCACACGAAGGAACAAAACGAAACACAAGTAAAGCTTTTATAAGAAGATAATTTATAAAGAGCAACAAAGTTGATTAGGGGCCTGGAGGCTAAAACATATGAAAAACGGTTGCAGGAATTGGTTATGTCTAATTTAATGAAAAGAAGGACTAGGGGAGACATGATAGCAGTACCTCAGTATTGGAGGGGCTGCCACAAAGAAGAGGGGGTCAACTTATTTCCCAAAGCATCAGAAGGCAGGACAAGAAATAATGGATGGAAACTAACCAAAGGGAGAAGCAACCTGGAATTAAGGAAAAACTTCCTGACAGTGAGGACAATTAATTAGTGGAAGGATTCAGTCTTGAACTAGGAAGGATTTCAGATGAGACCTTAGTAAAACTACACTTGGAATGCTTCATCCAGTTTTGGTCACCCTATTATAAAACAATGTTGGGATTTTGGAGAGAGTGCAGCAAATAGCAACACAGATGAATAGAGGGCTGGAGGCTAAAACATATGAAGAACATTTGCAGTAATTGGTTTGTCTAATCTAGAGAAAAGAAGGACTAGGGCAGGGGTGCTATTCAGCAGGTTCTGACAGGTTCTGGAGAACCAATAGCAGAAATTTTGAGTAGTTTGGAGAACCGGCAAATACCACCTCTGGCTGGCCCCCAAGTGGGGTGGGAATGGGGATTTTGCAATATCCTTCCCCTGGAGTGGGGAGGGAATGGAGATTTTGCAGTATCCTTCCGCTGCCATGCCCACCAAGCCACCCCCACCAAGCCACACCCACAGAACCGGTAGTAAAAAAAAATGCATTTCACCACTGGACTAAGGGTGACATGATAGCAGTCTTCTTATATTTGGAGGGCTGCCACAAAGAAGAGGGGGGGGCAACTTATTCTCCAAAGCACCAGAGAGCAAGACAAGAAACAATGGATGGAAATTAATCAAGGATAGAAACAACCTGGAATTAAGGAGAAGCTTCCTAACAGTGAGGACAATTAACCAGCAGGACAGCTTGTCTCCAGAAATCATGGGCACTGGGTATTTTTAAGAAAAAGCTGGACAATCACCTGTCTAAGATTGTATAGGGTCACCTCCTGCTCCAGCAGGGGGTTGGACTAGATGACCTCCAAGATCCCTTCCAGCTGAATTGAATTGATTCCAGCTGGGGAAGGCTGCCCAAGGGCCCCTCCCAAGGACCTTTGGCAGGAGGAAACCAGCAAGGGGGATGATTTCCCCCCAAGAAGCTGAAATCGGGGCTCTGCCAGCCAGCCACCCTCTCGATACCGGACCAAGCTTCATCCAGTCCAGTGTTTCTCTATCTCGGCCACTTTTGAGATGGGCAGACTTCAACTCCCAGAATTCCTCAGCTGAGGCACGGGGCTGGGGCCATCCTGGGAGTTGAAGTCCGCCCATCTTAAAGTGGCCAAGCACCGCTCTAGTCTAGAGCGGGGGTCTTCAACCTTGGCAACTTTATGACTTGTGGACTTCAACTCCCAGAGTTCCTCATCCAGCAAAGCTCCTGATGACATAGAATAGTAGAACATAGACAAACAGGGTTGGAAGGGAGCTTGCAGGACTTCTAGTCCAGCCCCCCTGCTCAAGTAGGAAGCCCTACACTCTATAGCCATTTCATAACATCATAGACTCATAGGGCTGGAAGGGACCTTGGAGGTCTTCTAGTCCAACCCCCTGCTCAAGCAGGAAGCCCTACACATAGCCATTTCATAACATCATAGAGTCATAGGACTGGAAGGGATCTTGGAGGTCTTCTAGTCCAACCCCCTGCTCAAGCAGGAAGCCCTACACTCTATAGCCATTTCATAACATCATAGACTCATAGGGCTGGAAGTGATCTTGGAGGTCTTCTAGTCCAACCCCCTGCTCAAGTAGGAAGCCCTACACTCTATAGCCATCATAGACTCATAGGGCTGGAAGTGATCTTGGAGGTCTTCTAGTCCAACCCCCTGCTCAAGTAGGAAGCCCTACACTCTATAGCAGGGGTCTCCAACCTTGGCCACTTTAAGACTTGTGGACTTCAACTCCCAGAATTCCTCAGCCAACAAAGCTGGCTGAGGAATTCTGGGAGTTGAAGTCCACAGGTCTTAAAGTGGCCAAGGTTGGAGATCCCTGGTCTAGAAGAAGCTGGGTGCGAGTTTAAAACCTAACCATAGCCACCTTTGGAGGCAAGGCTGCCCCGCCCCTACCCCCCCCCCCACTCCCCAAGAAGCTTTGTTTGACACACACGCACCCCGACCCGCAGCCCTTCCCCTCAACCCTCCCCTTACCTGGCGAGCCGCCGCAGCCAACGAAAAGCCCCGCCTTCCGGGAGGCTGGGTGGAACCGCCGCCGCCGCCCCCTCCCTCCCTCCTTCCCTCCCTCCTTCTTGCCTCCGGGCATGCGCAGAGCGCCGCTTCTACGCAGAAGAGGAGGGATGCCGGATCGGAAGAGCCGCGGGCGGGAACGGCAAACTGGAAAAGAATGGGGAACGCTGCTATGGGGTTTCCTGCTTGAGCAGGGCGGGTTGGACTAGAGGACCTCTAGGGTCCCTTCCAACTCTTCTATTCTTGTTCTGCATTCTATTCTATTCAGGCGTCCAAGGTCCCTTCCAATATTCTATTCTATTCTATTCCCATTATTCCTATTCCTATTATTTCTATTTCTATTCTATTCTATTTCTATTATTCCTATTCCTATTCTTTCTATTTCTATTCTTTCTATTCTATTTCTATTCTATTCCCATTATTCCTATTTCTATTAATTCTATTTCTATTCTATTCTAATAATTCTAATTTTATTCTATTTTAACCTCCAAGATCCCTTCCAACTCTTGCTATTCTAGTTTCAGTCATTTAGAATGCTTTCTGTTAAAAGAAGCTGCTGTCTCTGTGGGAAGTGACTGGGCTGCCCTCTGGCCTTCATATCTGGGTCACTGCATCACATCCCTATTTTCAAGACAGCATCCCTGCCTGCCCAGAGTGCTCGACTCTTCCTGAAAACGTCTTTGATTTTCCAACTATAAAAGAAACAATTGACAACGCTCATCCACCCTCTTGGTTTCTAGGGGTCCAAACTTTATTATGGAGTTGTATAGGGTCTCCTGCTTGAGCAGGGGGTTGGACTAGAAGACCTCCAAGGTCCCTTCCGACTCTTTGTTATCCTAGGGGTAACCACTCTGATATTCCCTGGTGGTTTTCCACCCCAAAGTAAACTAGTAGGCATCCTGCTGAGCTTTTGGAGACCAGCCAAAATTTGCCCTCTAAAAAAAAACAAAAAAAACACAAGATTTGGCGGTTTCATAAAACCTGAGGGCTGGAAGGGACCTTGGTGGTCTTCTAATCCAATCTCCTGCCCAACCAAAGCAGGAAACCTTATTCCATCCTGGCCAAATGCTTGTCCACTCTCTTCTTAAAAACTTTCCATGTCAGAGCATCCACAAATTCTTGAGGCAGGCTGTTCCACTGATGAATGAATAGATTAACAGATTAACAGAGTTGGAAGGGACCTTGTAGGTCATCTAGTCCAACCCCCCTCCCAAGCAGGAGACCCTACACCATTTCTGACAGATGGCAGTCTAATCTCTTCTTCAAAGCCTTGAGGGATGAAGCTCCCACAACTTCTGAAGGCAACAACTGTTCCATTGGTTGATTGTTCTCACTGTCAAGAAATTCCTCCTTATTTCCAGGTTGAATCTCTCCTTGGTCAGTTTCCATCCATGATTCCTTGTCTGGCCTTTGGGTGCCTTGGAAGACAGGTTGACCCTCCTCCTCTCTTTGGCAGCCCCTCAAATATTGAAACACTGCTATCATGTCTCCCCTGGTCCTTCTCTTCGCTAGATTAGCCATGCCCAGTTCCTGCAACCGTTCATCGTATATTTTAGCCTCCAGTCCCCTAATCATCCTGGTTGCTCTTCTCTGCATTCTTTCTAGAGTCTCAACATTATTCGATCAAATTATTCAATCTGTCAGGAAATTTCTCCTTAGTTCTAAGTTGGATCTCTCTTCTTTGGCCTCAAGTGCTGGTTAACCTTCTCTGTGATTGCCCCTCAAGTACTGGAAGACAGCTATCATATGTCATCCCTAATCCTCTTCATATAGCCTCTTCAGGCTAGACATCCTTTGCTTAACTGTTCCTCGTATGATTTATCCTGCAAATCCTTTCTTTGTTGCTTTTCTCTGCACTCTTTGTAGAGTCTCAGTTCACGTCCTTGTTTCAGGTAGTTTTGGCAATCACGTGGAGATAGCTGACCGCTGCTTTCTTCTGAGATATATATTTTTTTTACTTCTCAAGCTTGGTTTTCTGGTGATGAATAGAATAGAATAGAATAAGAATAGAATAGAATAGAATAGAATAGAATAACAGATTTGGAAGGGACCTTGGAGGTCTTCTAGTCCAACCCCCTGCTTAGGCAGGAAACCCTACATCACTTCAGAAAAATGGTTATCCAATCTCTTCTTTAAAACTTCCAGCATTTACAACTTCTGGAGGTTAATTGTTCTGACTGTCAGGAAATTTCTCCTAAGGTGCTTCTCTCCTTGATTAGTTTCCACCCATTGCTTCTTGTCCTGCCCTCAGGTGCTTTGGAGAATAGCTTGACTCTCTCTTCTTTGGGGCAGCCCCTGAGATATTGGAAGACTGCTATTACGTCTCCCCTAGTCCTTCTTTTCATCAAAATAGACATATCCAGTTCCTGCAACCGTTCTTCATCTATTTTAGCCTCCAGTCCCCTAATCATCTTTGTTGCTTTTCTCTGCACTCTTTCTAGTCTCAACATCTTTTTTACATTGTGGTGACCAAAACTGGATGCATGTATATCTTCTGTCCATGTATTATAGAATAGGATCGTACACCTTCTCAACCCAACTTAGCTTTCAAAACCAACACTATTGTGAAAACTCCTAGCGATGCCCTAAGATTGTTTTCATTTTCCAAAGTTAAAAGAGGTGCTCCTTTGTTGTTATTTAGTACAAGTCACTCCGGTAATTTCACGAAGGGTTAGAAAAAGTTCAGGAAAAAAAGATCTGTTCCATCTGTAAAACATCTTGAAGTTTTGGAGGAGGTTGGAGGAAAAAAACCCAAATCACCTTTTTGTTCACAGCCAATGCAAACTCAAGGGAAGTCGCATTGTAACGTTCAGTGCAGAGGAAATGACATTTTTAACAAGGCATCCTGAGAATTTGACATTGGACAGACTTATCTTTCCTTTGGTAATGACGGTTTTCAATGACGGTCTTAATCTCTTAAAGTAATATTTATTAGATAGAATATTTATTTACATGTACATTAGCTGAATCAACGGGAAATGACAATTCAAGCTTAAGAAGGAGGCGGTCTACAACGAAGGCTTTGCAAGTGCAGCTCTGCCGTGGCGGCTTAAATAAAGCAAAAAGAAAGAAAGAACATGCCCATTTTTCTACTGTCACTACTTCCCCGGCATGCAAAGGAATCTCTCTGAAAATTCAGAGTTTTTCCAGAGCGCCGAGGATATTTAACGAAGTTGCTAATCACTTCTAGTTGAAGCCACGACCGGTTAAAATAGATTTTAAGATTTGTTTTTTTTTGTTTTGTTTTTTCCTTTTTAAAGTGCTGTGCTGTTAAAACAATAACCATTTTCCTATTTAAAGATATACAAATGCCTCTATTTACTTTCTCCTGTAACGCCGCCTCTCCTCCTTGGCTTTCCCAGCCCGCTGCTTTAGTTTCCTGAGAGACGGGCACATGCGCTCAGGGGAACGGGCGTTGCTCACGTGCGAAAGAGCATATGCGGATTGCAAATGTTTAGATCAGGGGTCCCCAAACTTGGCAGCTTTAAGACTTGTGGACTTCAACTCCCAGAATTCTCCAGCCAGCTGTGCTGGCTGGAGAATTCTGAGAGTTGAAGTCCACAAGTCTTAAAGCTGCCAAGTTTGAAGACCTCTGGTTTAGATGAAAGGAGCGTTTAAGAACAGCAGAAAACTCTCTTTGGCAGGTTGGAAAGGTTCGTTTTGAAGTTTTAAGGGAAATCGCAGAGCCTTTCAAATGTGCATTTTGACTCAAGAGGCAGAGAAGGTCCCAAGTCGCCTTCCCAGAAAGCCAATGGGGCAAACAAGATGTGTCCGTGACAAAAACCCACAGAATCCTCTGCTCCCCGCAGAGACATCCATACCACTTCCGTGCATCACGCTAAAAATAATAATAATAATAATACAAATAATAATAATAATCAGCTGAGTCCCAAGGGCACAAGAATAATTAATTTTTTTTTCTTTAAACGGCAAAGTGCTTTGGTGACTTTTCTTTTTTTTCCACCTCCCCCTACTGAATTCCATAATGCGAATGAACTCAATTTAAAACGCAACAATGAAAACACCAATTTCCTGAACTGAATAACAGAAAAAAAAAGAAAAGGAGAAAAGAAAAGCAGCAGGGGATCTGGTTCGTTTAATCTTTCGGCACTTTAAAGCTGTCCTTCTCTTTGCGGATAGCTCCCATGGTCCGAACAGGATCCGTTTCCCGGACATGATGCTGCACTGTTGCTTCTCTGTCCAGAAAGAAAAAAAGACTCATTAGGGCAGGGGTCGGCAACCTTAAATACTCAAAGAGCCACAAAGGTCCTAACCGGAAGCCCCCCTCTTCAATTCTGGAGCCGACCGGAAGTCTTGTTCCCCCACCATAGAGTCTCCTCCTAGCGCAGCGTCCTTTTTCCTCTCCCTGTCCTAACTGAAAGCCCTATCAATTGTGGAGCCGACCAGCGGCAAGGAGCCACAGCAGAGGGATGAAAGAGCCACATGCGGCTCCAGAGCCGCAGGTTGCTGACCTCTCCATTAGGGGAACCTGGGAGTTAAAAGAGGTTTTTCAGCATATTCAAGAACTCTTCCCTAACTTGGCAGCCTCCATGGGTTGGACTGATTAATTACCAGAATCCCCCCAGGTCCAGTGGGCAGGGGAGGCTACAGCAATTCATAAGCCAGGGGATGCTTCTTATTCCTTTCTGGGTTGGGTCCCTAGCCCCACAGGACAGCAAAATGCTGTGAGGTACTTGATTCAGCAAACACTTAACTTATCTTTATTGATGTAATAGAACAGCTTTTCTCAACATCAGCAGTTTTTAAGATGTGTGGACTTCAACTCCCAGAATTCCCCAGCTGTGTACCGGTAGCTGGCTGGGGAATTCTGGGAATTTAAGTCCACATGTGTTGTGGACTGTTGGCCACCGGCCCCTCCAGCAGCCGAATCAGAGAAGGAGGAGGAGGCATGGGAGTCAGGGTCAGCATCAAGGCAACCTGGGAGCTCCGAGGGGGAAGAGGGAATGGAGCTGGCAGAGAGAGAGAGACAGAGGCAGAGGGCCGTCTGTCAGCCCTCAGATGGAGAATCAAC